CTGACAGATGTGACAATGTGACCCAGGAAGAGTGACCGACAGATGTGACAGTGTGACCCAGGAAGAGTGACTGACAGATGTGACAATGTGATGGCCATGAGCATGGAAATAAGAATGACAGATTCCACAGTGACAAAACATCTGAGGTCTGGAAGTAAAACAGAGAGAAGCAGGCAATTGAAGGTCAGGGTGATGAGTTTGGCGGAAGCCAGATGAAGTAGGACCTGGAGGGATGACGTGGAGAGTGGCTTTTATTTTAAGTTCAGAGAGAAACCACTGATGGATTTCAAAACTCTGTCCTGATATCCTTAAGTATGGATCAGTGATGAGACTACTACAGTGAGTAAGATGATATCTTAATGGTAAAGGGAGAAATAGTGAAACCTGATAGATTCAAAATATATTCTGAAGGCAGAGCCTTAGAAGGTGCCAATTGATGGGACATTGGCTGTGATTAGTGAACTGGGGGAGGGGTGTGGCAGGTCGGAGAAGAGAACATCCAGGGATGACCCCTAGATACTTTTATCTTGGCAAATGGATAAATAATTATACTATTTACTGAAATAGGAAGGATTAGTGTATGAATGGTTTTTGTTTTACTTTGAGCTGGAGACAAGGAAATTGGAAGTTGGAAACTAATCGTCCTTATCTTTATTGATATTTCTTATTAAAGTGGATGGGACCCTACCAAAGACAAATTAGCCACTGTTGCCTAAAAGCAGACCCTCTATAGAAGAAATATTACACTAATGTCTTCTACAAGACAATATAATAGAACTTATACCAAATGGCCATAATCTGGTATTAAAATGCCAAGATGAACTACATGATATCGTTTCATTATACACCGATACCTTCTATTTTATAGAGGCATGCAAATGAAGTAACTCACCTTTTATTACTTTCAATACCTAGTTCTCATTAAAGAACAACTTCACAAAAATTCACCACATAGTCATGTATTCCTGAAACATCCACTGATGTTTGTGTGCCAAGGATTGTGTTAAACATTGCGGATACAGAGATGAACAATACACGTTGGCCACCTCATTAAGGTCTAGTCTCTCGAGTCCTGGGAAGATAGATGATTACTATAAAATCTGATAAAGGCAGAGAGCGAGAGCAATGTACAGACCAGGACAACATCATAGAAGGGGGATACTTAGTTCAGGAAGGACAAATGTTAATTAACCACATAATTACATGTATAGACATCTTTACTTTTTAAAATTTTGAAATTTGAGGTACCCCTACACATTTATTCCACCAGTATCTGTGTTATCCATGGGGGTGGTTTACAAGTGACCAAAAATATACCCAAAAAAGTTCCAGTTGGGAGACATGAAAAGTAAAGAAAAAGTTGCTAAAACAGCATGGGGAGCATATGCACTGAGGTCTATAGAGAAGACGGAGCACCATTGGTTTGTTGATGTTATAACAGCTGCTACTACCTTATACTGTCTAGAGATTTTAAATATTTCTTATGCAGCCTCATAGGTAAATTAAAAATGTAGCCGGTATCCAGCCTCACTCGTGATAGGTTCTTAATATTGTTTGCTGAATTAATCAACCAATAAAACAATCACAGGCAGGCTGGCAACCATTCAATAATCACTGATTGGATGAATGAAAATGAAGTTGCCACTGTCTTCTCTTAAGAGTTCTCATTACTGACCACCAGCTAAGGAGGCCAATAGCAGCTCCATAATCTATTTGGATTATTATTTCCAGGATTTTATTTCCACCGGTGGCCCCTATATGGCTAATTGGCAGGGTCTCCTAGGATTTCTTTCTTGATACGCTGATACTTCTGCTTTAATGGCAAAGCTGAACTCTACCTATTTACCATAATCTTTTAAATGGTAGTGAGCATCTGATATTTTTCCTCCAAGGCTCTTTCAGCTGTTTGTAGAGTTCACTGAACATTGTTTCATAGGACAGTATGAAACTGTCCAGTGATTGTTCTTATTGGTTGTAAGGCACCCAAACGACCTCTTATAAGTAGGTCCTCTGTATCCCCCTAGGATAAATAAATATTCTTATTTATACCATATTTATCATATAATAAAATAAATTATATATTATATAATATATTATTATATTATAACATTTCTTTAGAGGAAAACCCAGTCTCACCTAGCTTCCATACACATACTCAGATGTATTAATAAGCCTCCCATAATACACAAGGCTGGGTCTAAAAAGACCGTGCAATACTCCCATAACAAGCAATAATAACCTTAGGTTATACTCTTTAACATAAAATGCTGCACCCACTGGGAGAACCAAATTCATGTGTTCCAGATACATGCGTTCCTCTCTACTCTTTAAAAACATGGGGGAGAGAGATAATTTGTATAACTTTTTGTGATTAACAAAATATTATTAACCTACATCAACTAATTCATTTCATCATATAATTGCCTAAATCACTATTCAGCCTCACATAAAAAGTGTATTTTCCAGTTGTGTGTAGGTAACATAAAACTCCCCTCCTAAGTTGCAGATTTAGGCCTTAGCCAAGGATACAGGACTTATTAAAGGAAGTTAATAGGCCGATAGACCAGAAGTAGATGCAGTATGTCTTGGAGTGGATTTTCCCTTAATCCTGGGTAATCTTAAGGACACAGCAAAGAGGTGACATACTCCTTACAAATAGAATCTTGAGAAAGAAACCGATTTCTCGCTGGTGCTGCCCTTGTATCCTCATGCTTATATCATCATTCCAGAACGTGTCATACTCACTATCTGGGCAATTTTGTTGAAGAAATGTTACAACTTTGAGCTCTCCTAATTCTTCGATTAAATAGAGTCAGCAAGGCCACATTCATTTGGAGTCCATGTGCAGGTGTCCCTGAACAGTTTTTCTGAATTTAGTTCTCTAAAAATCTGTGTAGCTCGTCTCCCTATTTAGAAAAACTTCGAGCCTTTCATAAATTTTTCTAAGGGAAAAACTAGAAGGATTGCTCATTCTGTACATGAACAATCTGTTCCTTTTGTTGTGGTGGTTGTTGTTGCAGTTTGGCCAGGGCGGGGTTTGGGTTTGAACCCTCAACCCTCGGTATATGGGTCCGGCACCCTACCCCCTGAGCCACAGGTACCACCCATGAACAATCTGTTCTTTTTTTTTTTAATTATCTTTTATTAAATCATAACTTTGTACGTTGATGCATTTATGTGGTTCAGGCTACTGCTTCAATATACAATGTGAAATATTTACATTGAACTAATGAACAATCCATTCTTACTGGCTTTCATTAGGAGATTAGATAAAGAGAATTGAACCTGCAGATTAAATTAAAAGGACAATTTGACCCCAATAGTACTTTATCACACTTGGGGAAATTTGTTAATCCCTACAATGGGGGGTAAAATGAGAATTTCCCTGGCTTTCTGAAACCAGTTGGTTTTTCTTTTGAACTATTGCTCAATAATTATCTTCATTTTTAAATTTTCTTCCACAATGATACAAATTAAACTGGTTAACAAATAATGCATCCACAATTTTTTACTCAGTTCCCCTACACTAGTAGTTTCTACATAGTAATTTTTCATTACGTAAAAGATATTTCTGTAGCAACAAGTTGTAGATTTTGATTCATTTTTTACAGTAACGATCTCTTATCGAGCAGGAAAAATTTTTAAAAGTCTTTGTTAGTGATATTCCTTGCTCTCATTTTTGTTTAAGTCTTTTATTTTCAGACTATACTTGCACAGAATATAGACTTTCACATTGGTAATGCCCACCTTGCATTAAGTCTTTCTTGTAACTGACTTTCTGGATTATTTTAAAGGCAATTATGACCACTGGTTAAGGTTAAGTACCCTGGAGACAGACCATGTGTTTTTATTTTGTTTTTGTTTTTGTGCTTATTCATTTTCATATTTTAAAATGTTATTATACTAGCATAATTTTTGATTGACAGATCATAATTGCTTACCTTTATAAAGTATGATGTGATGTTTTTATGTATGTGTACAATGTGGCATGATAAAATAAAATTAATTATAGTATCCATTGCTTTGCTTACCTATCACTCCTTTTTTTTTTCTGTCACTCCTTCTAATGAAACATTAGAAATTGGCTCTCTTAGTTACTTTGCAATATATAATAGATGATTGTTGACTACCATCAACCTGCTGGGCAATAGATCTGAAAGCCTATTGCTACTGTTGATGTGAAACTTTGTACCCTTTCACTAACAACTCC